TCATGACAATTCAAAAGTTGTCACCCTAAAGGTGGTTCTAGAGGAAAAGTCAGAGGATCATTAAAGTCGTTAGGATACATCTTCTGGCAACCATGAATGTCTGTATAAAGTTTTGTGCCAACCCATCAAGAAAATGTTGAGATATTTCAGTCTGGACCCAAGTGGTGAACAAATCAGTGGACCTCTCTAGCTTTTCAGCTGGAGCAGATGAGTCCAGAAAAAAGATGATATGAAGATGTGTTACTGAAAACATAGGTTATGTATGTAAATCATTATACAACCTCATGTTCTTGTTTTTTTCAGCTCCCTATTGCCCAAGGCTGAGACCCACTTACAACCCACCGAACAGCTGGAGTTCAATCAGCACCAGTAAAGCCTTCAGGTGATCCATAGCCATCAGCACACACCATCATCAAAATAAAAGCCAAGTGTCTGAACTCTCTCCACTTGAAAACAGAGCAGAGTAAGTTCTGACTCTGGATCAGTTTAATCTTTGTGCATCCAGTACTGAGCCATTCTTAGCAACAAAAAAACTGGAAGCAGGGGGAAAATATGTTTATGTAGCAACTTGATACATATCTAAAAACAAAAGCTCTTACACAACTGCAGATATTTATTGACAAAATACCATTTATTTGTTTGTCCTGCAACTCTGCACAACATCACAGTTGTTGCCAGGTAGATTGAAATGACATGGAGAAAATCTGCGTAACCTGATCTCTCTGAGTAACCTAGTTTCTTGGGTGCATGTAAACCGACTGTATGAAAACTGGACCATTGAGATGTGGTGGTTCTTTATCAAGAAACACTCCCAAAAATAAATCCGCAGCTTTGGAGCAGATTTTTTCATGGAGCTTCCCCCAGCTTCCAGTCTTTGTGCTAAGCTAGCTAAGCTAATGGGATGCTGGCTTGTTGTTGTACTTTATGGACAGATATAAAAACCTAGTTGTTAACTTCCACAATGCTAAATATGCATTCTGCAGACAGGAAATAATTACCTTAATTTCACAATTTAGTATCCCAAAAAAAGCATGAAACATAAACTTAATGTTCTTTCCAAGCAGCTGTTTCATTCAGTGGCCAGGCTGATCATTTAAAAGCTACAGTGGGAACCTTCTTCTCCTGGACAGAGTTTTTACTGTAAATGTCACCATGTTCAGATTCTACAAACCCAAACCTCTGTATGAGTATTTATTTATTTCTCTGTTTTATATTGTTGCATATTTCTTGTTGTATATATCTTCATCACTGTATAATCAATGTTACTTCTTATTAAAGCTAGTTTATTGGTTGTTTTGTAAGAAAACAAATAAAGGCCTTTTTAAGGTATCGAGTTCTTCATATTTCTTTTAAGGTAGGGAGAGTAGCTTAAAGTAATTTATTTTGTAAAAGGAAGGATGGATCGTATGACCATTAATAATCTGCTAGGTTGCTGAGTATGAAGCTTTGCGGTAAAATCTGAAATTTTTGTTCTTTTTAAGTTCCAGTTTGAGACTACAACATTTAGTGGTCACTGTGTCTGGTGCTATGGTCAGATGATCATACAGTTGTAGATTCTTGATGTGACATGGCACGGGACACAGCATTGGCTACATGATGGACCTTAATCAAGCAGAGCTTGCCATCTGCCATGTATTGATCATGTACAGATGTGATCAGTGTCAGAATGGAAAAGCACAGGTAAGATAACACTAACACATTCCATGTTTGGTTCCTAACAGTATCAGACACATTGTGGCTTCTTACCTTTCATTTCTCCACATGGTTTTAAGTACTGCATCCATTTCCTTGTACCCATTATGTTAACAGCTGTTCATAGAGCTGAACACTTCCAACATGGCCACCAAGAATACAAGAATAGATTTAATAAAAGAAAATATGATGAAGCAATCACACAATGTTCAAAATGATTTATAACATTTTTATTTCATGATATTAGCTGTTCTTTATTAGTGCTGCATGAGAAATAATGCTAAGATGCTAGTTTGCTGATGTTTCTCAGGTTTTTCGGAGTCTGCAGCATTTGACTTTGCTGCAGGGGCCAGACAAGTTCACGGCCAGCAGGTCAGTCAGCGGGGCAGAGAGGAAATAAGGATTAAAAGATTAATGAGGCTGCATTAGCTCTGCACCAATTAGGATTCCTCTCTGCCAGGCTCTCCCTGACTCCTGCCGATGCACGGCCAAAAACTAAAGACCCAGTTTACTTTTGTTTCTTTTCTTCTTTTTTTTTTTACAACTGATTAGGATAAAAGCTAGATGGCTTGTTAAGACCGCAGTCGGCCCTCTGTTGATATTTGTTGCCATCACTCTAATCCCCCGTGCAATTATTTGGCAGTTTGCTAGAACATAATTTATAATCAGGGCCATGAATGTTCTTAAAATAATTTTCTTTTGAGATTTAACGAACATACACTTAGTGGCCACTTTATTAGGTACACCTTGCTTACCGGGTTGGACCCCCCTTTGTCTTCAGAACTGCCTTAATTCTTTGTGGCATACTTTCAACAAGGTGTTTGAAACATTCCTCAGAGACTTTGGTCCATATTGACATGATGGCATCACACACTTGCTGCAGATTTGTCGGCTGCATATCCATGATATGAATCTCCCGTTCCACCACATCGCAATGGTGCTCTATTGGATTGAGATCTGCTGACTGTGGAGGCCAGTGGAGTACAGTGAACTCATTGTCATGTCCAAGAAACCAGTTTGAGATGATCTGAGCTTTGTGACATGGTGTATTATCCTGCTGGAAGTAAACATCAGAAGATGGGTACACTGTGTCATAAAGGGATGGACATGGTCAGCAACAGTACTCAGGTAGGCTGTCGCATTTAAACGATGCTCAGTTGGTACTATGGGGCCCAAAGTGAGCTAATACCCCCCACACCATTACACCACCAGCAGCAGCCTGAACCGTTGATAGAAGGCAGGATGGATCCATGCTTTCATGTTGATTACGCCAAATTGTGACCCAACCATCTGAATGTCACAGCTGAAGTTGAGACTCTTCTGACCAGCCAACGCTTTTCAATCTTCTATTGTCCAATTTTGGTGAGCCTGCGTGAATTGGGAGCCTCAGTTTCCTGCTCTTAGCTGACAGGAGTGGCACCCGGTGTGGTCTTCTGCTGCTGTAGCCCATCTGCTTCAAGGTTTGACGTGTTGTGCGTTCAGAGATGGTATTCTGCATACCTTGTATGGAACGAGTGGTTATTTGAGTTATTGTTGCCTTTCTGCCATCTGGAACCAGTCTGCCCATTCTCCTCTGACATCAACAAGGCATTTCCGTCCACACAACTTCCGCTCACTGGATATTTTCTCTTTTTTGGACCACTCTCTGTTGTGCTTGAGAATCCCAGTAGATCAGCCCGTCTGGCACATGCCATGTTCAAAGTCATTTAAATCCCCTTTCTTCCCCATTCTGATGCTCAGTTTGAACTTAGGCAAGTTTTCTTGACCATGTCTACATGCCTAAATGCATTGAGTTGCTGCCATGAGATTGGCTGATTAGCTATTTGTGTTAACAAGCAATTGAACAAGTGTACTTAATAAGGTGGCCGGTGAGTGTATATGCTGCTAAATCTCTCATACTTACTGGCTCTTGACCTCCTGTTGCAAGCTCAATCCTGCAAGATGGTGACCTTTGACCTCTAGAAATTATTGCATATCTTGTGTTTTAGTTGCATTCTTATTGGAAAAAAGACTAGAGGCTGGAGATTGAAAGAAATAAACAAAAACCTTCTATAAATGATCACTGGGTGTTAACTGCCCTCTGGTGGCAATAGTAATAATGTCAAAAATATAAAAATGCACAGAAATGCATTAAAATTGCTCATGAAATCCACAGTTTGGTGTTTAAAACAGCAGAGTAAAATGTTTTATTATCGCCACATAGATTTACAAGACTGAAGGTTGCTCCAAGCTTCTACAGCAACACACACAAGTGATCGTCCGTTCAGAGATATTTATATCCACCCCCAAAGATGGCACTGGGCAAAGGTGGAGGAGCAGGAGGAGGGGAGGGGGCGAGTGTGTCCATCCTGGTGGGCACAGACAGAACCGACAGGAGGGGTACACCTGGACTGTTCACTCAATGGGAGCACAGAGCCGCCGGCCAAGGCAGCAAGGTTATCCTCCGCCCTGGTTGCCAACAGGCAAGACACACGCAAATGTTAGTCATTAGTAACCTACGGTGTGTATGTGAGACTACACTGGTTTTAAAGCTGAAATAATATTTTGTGTGTTCGCTTAGCTGCGAGGGTCCACGTGACGTAAATTTCATCATCTGCTCACGTCCATGGGGTTCACACTGATATGTCAGGGCCCAAAATGTATCACCAGGCACATAGTGGGCCTGTAGTTGGTTAATTCAGATCAATGTCATCTCGGTACAAGGACATGAAAGCAAACGCAAAACGTTTTCTTTTCTTTAACCATTTTACTGTTTGCTTCTGTGTTATTTCTCAGCTCACTGTGAACAGAAGTGTCTTTATGGCCATTCATTGTGAATGAATTGTTTAGTTGAGGACAGCAAGTTTTCCTGAGTCCAGGTCACCTTGCTAAAATCATTTCACCTCTCTAATTCCAGTGTGGAGAATTTTAGTGATGAGGACATGAATCACAGATGTAAGGGATTTCTGTTTTTTTTTTTATATGTTCTGCGCTAATGAAATTGAAGTAAATGATCATTTTTTAGTAATTTTATTTAAACTTTTAGAGTAAGCCAATTGTGTATTAAACACACTGCATTAGCCTATGTATGAACGGTGAAGCATGATATGTTGGCATAGGCTTCTTAATTTTCTGAAGCTATAGGGGCTATAGGGGCCTATCAGTATGATCCCGAACTTCTGACCCTGAATGACCAAAACATGTTTAATAGCTTATTGTTTCTTCCTTATTTGTTTGATTGCTTTGAAAAAAAAAAATTTAAACACTAATTTATACACAAATCATCTTTTTTTATTATCTGAAATTGCCGATATCGGCTTTGACCCATATCGGTCGAGCCTAATTTAAACCCGTATCCTCCAGACCGCAACAGGTGCCCCCTCCTCCCCTTTCTTTAGGCTCCACCTGTCTTCCTTTCTCCTCGGTGAGCTGGCGACCCAGAAAGCAGCCGTCATTCATTAGAAATGGTATGCCTATCCGCCGGGGGGCTACACGGCTCAAACCCCCTCGGTCACCGGATCGGCGGCAGCTGCTCGGCCCCCCGGTGCTATTTTCACCCTCAGGATAAAGTGATGTGCAGCCGCCGCCCGCGCGCACGGCCCCAGCAGCTCCAGTCAGACCCGAGCAGTGCCAGGATGAAGTCCACAGGAAGCGAGCGCGCTGCGCAGCCCGACGGCTACACCTCCGACCTAGACGACCTGGACAGCGGCAGCGACAGCTCCGACGGGAAGTCCACCGGCGGCTGCAGCCCCCGCAGAGAGCCGGGGGAGGCGGCGGGGGAGGAGGCCACGGACGGAGATGGTTCCCGGGGCGGCACGACAAGGCGGAGGAGAACGCGGAGACGCAGCAGAGTCGGGAGAGCCGGTGGAGACGCGCGTCTTTCCGGGGTGAGCCAACAGAGACAGGCGGCCAACGCGCGGGAACGGGACAGGACGCACAGCGTGAACACGGCCTTCACAGCGCTCCGCACGCTCATCCCCACAGAGCCCGCAGACAGGAAGCTCTCCAAGATAGAGACGCTGCGCCTGGCCTCCAGCTACATCCACCACCTGGCCAACGTGCTGCTGCTGGGGGAGGACTGCCGGGACGGACAGCCCTGCATCCGCTACCAAAGCATCCTGCACGGCCCCGCCGCCCTCAACGCGGCCTCCCTGCGCCCCATCTGCACTTTCTGCCTCGGAAACCAGAGGAAACTGGTGAGTGGCCATTTACACCTGGCCAAAAACCTATTAGCAAATAGGCTAATAATAAGTCTCCAGGATTGCTCCGGTGCCGATTTTTACGCAGACACACAATGTGTTCCAAAGTCTCTCCATCCAGGATGATATTTTTGAAAGTAGAGCAGATGATGCCACCTGCGCAGGTCGCATCCTCTGCATACTGAAAACAGAATTTTTGGTGCTGAGTTTGCAGAGTTTAGGGATGATTTCTGTTGACCAGACTGGCACCTGTTTCTCGAGTGATTGACAACACAAAATGAAAACAAGCTGCCTTCAAAGGATTAAAATAGGCCTACGTGTAAATACTTGACTGGGATGCTTGATCCTCTTCTGTAGATAGAATCTAAACTCAGTGTTGCTTCCTAAAAGAACAGTTTTAGGTAGAATGTTTCTTTTACTTGTGAGTTGCCAGGTGATCTCCAAAGTGAGTTGTAAATAACAGTTAACTAGGGCTAAGGATTTACATAGGCTAGCCGAATCAGAATCGTCAAGTCCTGCCTATAGTGGACTGATAGTCGAGTCATGTGTGTGTTTTTGTGCGCAGCGATTGCAAGCGGGGAGGGGGTTACACACGGTAGCTCCGCTTGAGAAGCTGCAGTTCCCCTTTCATTCAACTTACACTGTAAATTTACAGCTAAACTGAGGCTTTTTGAAGACCCTTATCTCTCTCTCGCCAGTCATTCAACGGTCTTGTACAGACTTTTACGTGCATTAGCCTACTGCTGCCGACAATTGCATGCGCGTCGCGGTTCCCCGCGGGTCTACTTCAAGTAGCCGGCTATTTAAAAACGATAAAATATTCTTTATGTGGTTCATCAATGGTGATAAATTATCCGAAAGTCCCACGCGGCACAACACCTTGAAGTTATAGCTCAGTCTCTTCAGCAAGTGTTCCTCCACTGCCACTGCACACTACATGCTACGCATACACATGCGCACTGACGACCAAGCGTTAGGGTTACAATTTTGGATTTATTCATGCACTTTAGGCTATTGAAAGTTTAATTCTTTTTACATATTTAGTTACAGCATTAAACGTTGAAATGTATATTGTAATAGGCTGTATATTAACTTATTGGGAGAAAACTGGTAGTTCTATGTAAAATCAGATGTTGAGCACCCCATATCGCCAAAATGGCATGATCCTTGTTTCACTGCGAAACTGTGAGATTGACAGTCGAATCAGGCTCCGCCTATCGAAGCATCGAATCTTCGACTATTCAGGGTCAGCCCTACAGTTAACCATAAAAAATATATCATAGGCTACACTTTAAATATTACAACAAAATAAGCCAGTAAATAACTGAAATTGGGGGGGATGTGAGAAGTGTTATTAGGATAAATGTGGTGCTTTCACTGAACTGCGTTTGTGGTAAAAACATGTCTTTCTTTGCCTCCACAGCTCAGAGATGGAGGGAAGCACACAGCTGCTGTGTGAAGCAAAGCGGCTCCGGACAGACAAGGAGTCCACCTTGATGTTGTTTACATGGAGACACGAGGCGTAAAAACGCACCAGTAGGACTTTGTGTATATATATATACATATATATATAAATGTATTTTATTTTTGGATTAGACCAGACAGAATGAGCACTGAAAAGCACTTTCTGTTCACGTTCGTGTGCTTCTGAACCTCTGTTTTGGTTGAGCTGTAACCAGAGCCCATGTGTAAAGTTGCACCTGACGGGGAGGGGGGGAGAGAGGCTATTTTGGTCCCGTGAATAGTACAAACTAACCCCATGTCCAACCCGTAAAAAAAGCCATGGTGCCTTCAGTCACATGAAGGAAACCGAAGAGCAGCTCTGCAGCGGTTGCTGTCAGTTGAGTGGAATTAACTTTGCCTAAAAATGCTGTCAGACATATCACAGGGCCACTGACTGATCTATGCCTCTGTTCAAGTGGTGAACAGTGGGATGTGCAACAACACTAGCATAACTGATCATCTCTACATCTTGCATTAGGCTATTTTGTCTATGTTACACATGACATGACTTGTATTTTTTCTAAAAACGCGTCAAATTAATCCACACTGTTGAGACGTCTCACCCGTTAATGTTTTGGTGCATTAAAGGGTTATTGTGTTCAGACAGAAAGAAATGCGAATTAGATGCGTGATTGAATACAAAGCCAATGGAAATAGCAGTACTCTACGGAGTAGTCAGGCTACGTTCAGACTGCAGGCCAATGTGACCCAAATCAGATTTTTTTTGCCCATATGTGACTCATATCTGATCTTTTTATGACAGTGTGAACAGGTCAAGTCACATGGATTCTGATCTTTTCCAGTTCGGAATTGGGCCACTTCCATATGTGGTCCAAGTCCGATACAGATCGGATTTTTTTAAATGTGACCTCAGTCTGGACACTCGCATTTGATGCAAATTTGACGTCACTGTAGAGCAGCTGTTCTGCTGTAGACGGAGCCGTGCTGAACGAAAAAGCTCCCCAAAAAGCCATAATTAAACATGTGGCTCTTTTTCTTTTCTACCTCGGTATCATCCGCTTCCCTTTCTTATAGCCTACCTGAAATCCACCGGACCGGAGCTGGGTAATTTTTTTATAGGGTGCCATTTGGACTTTATAACTTGGGATAAATAAATAGTTGATTTACCTATATTTTAAAGAACTATTAGGCTACATAAAGTATATATCTAACTTTATGAAAAACATATTGGTTGAGCTCAGGCACCTTTATTGTATTAAATATAGATATTAACAACATGTGACATGTGGGAAATGTCCACCCTGTTAAGGACTTAGACATAACTGTTTAAAAGTGTTTTCAGGGTATGATTGCTACTAAAATTACATTTTTGTAGAAATCATATGTCCCTCACTCTTATTAGATATTTGTTTTACAATAAAATATTTTTTAAACAGCATAGGCAAGCCTATAATGAGTAAAACAAGCACACATAATGAAAAGGGGATGTATTTTTCCACTTTTTTTCTCAAGAAAAGTGAATTATGATAAGAATTACTCAATGTCTCTTGCCTGTGTAGTCAATCCCTTCTATATCTTTATGTCAATACAAATATACATATATATATATAATATTTGGTAATTTCAATAAACTATGAAGGAAAAATACCAACATAACAGGGTGGACAAAACACCAGTATATAGTATAGAAATGTCCACCCTGTTAGTGTCCACCCTGTTGAAAAACTAATAGGGTGGACACTAACAGGGTGGACATTTTTAGCTAAAGTTAGCCTTTTACCTGCCTCTGTGAGCATAATGGCTAGCATGACCTTCAATAGGAGATGAGGAATCTATAATTTTCCACAAATCGTTTTTGAAATTATTTAATTTGATTGATCTCCTCAAAACCTAGGCCTAACAGTGTGGACACGTTATGATAAAACACATTAAACTGAACAGTTTGAACAGAAACAGCAGACAAGTGCTCAACATAACTTGCATAGATGAGTTGTTCATCATGAAACTGTGTCGGAACAGTAGCCTAAATGAGACCATACAATGTCAGAGAAGAGAAAAATGAATAAATAAATAAAAAAAACAAAAATAAAACACAAAAAAAAAAAAAAAAACAAAAACAAAGGCTTCTCTCTGAAGATTTCATTGCACAATTTCAAAGTTCTGATACATTTTTCAGAGTCAATAAGCTTAAGGCTTTTAATGTATTCTGCAAATTCGTATAGAAATCCAGTAAAGATGGGGAGAGTCTTTGCATTTTTGCACTTATGTATATGGAATTTCCCATGTAAGATCAATAAGTTCACAATTTCTTTGACATTACATTTATCATGTTCAAAATATGCAATGACATTTATAGTCGATTGTAACATTGTTTTTAGTTTCACCCGTAACATAGTCTTGCATACGAGTCCAGAAAGTAAGTGAATGTACACAGTGGAAAAATAGAGGCTGCATTGATTCTGGTTGGTCATTGCAAAAAACACACTTGTTATCAATATCTAAAAATTTAGAGTAATGTAGATTTGTTGGGTATATATTGTGTAAAATCTTGATGTGCACTTCTTTAATCTTATTGTTGATACAAAATTTTTATGGGAGTAACCATGCCTTCTTCCAATCGATACCTGTGAGAATGTTGTCCCAGATGAATTTAGCTTTAGGAGTAATTTTCCTTCTTTTACAGAGTGTGTTACGTATATGCTTATTGTTGCATTTAGCATTCATAATATCAATACCATTTATCATCAAAGGGGTTTCTGACCTCAGTGCTTGCTCATATTGAAGATGACATTTCATTAAATTTGATAGCCCATTGGGAATAGCTTTCATTACAAGATTAAATTCTCTGTTTGTAATAGGAAAAGACTTGACACAAAGGAATCTTTCAGAACTAAACAATACACCATTGACATCAAAGCGATCACTCACATAAATAATGTCTTTATCAACCCAATGTGGCATAAAGATGGATTTTTTCCCAACAGTAATATCTTCATTATTCCATATGACAGTTTTGTGTGGGGAAAAGTTATGTGTGTAACATAATTTCCAGGCAAGGAGGGACTGTTAGTAAAATCTGGATAATTTGATAGGCAATTTGGTAATATTATAATTACAAGTGAGTAGAAAATAAAGTCCCTCTAGTTTTTTAAAGATATTATTTGGGATAAAATACCAGATTGAAGTTGGGGCTTTAAGGCCCTTGTTTACTTCTGTAGCCTGCAACAGTGTGCTGCGTGTCACGTCGTGTTATTATCCTGCACATGCGGGTCACTTTCAGGCCGCAGACAGTTCACACTGGAGTCTGATATGGGCCACATTTAAACTATAATGTAAACTGTCAAACAAAACAAAAAATCAGATCTGGGAAAAAATCGATATTGAGCATTAAGGCCTGCAGTCTGAACGTAGCCTAATGTGGACCTCCCTAATATCGAGGCAGAGCAGACCGCAAGAACTGTGACTGGTCAGCTGGGTTGCATTGCATTTCCTCCAACCCCCAGGAAGTGCTCTGTACTTTGAAGCCAATTTTTCTAGTGGCCAAACCAGACTTTTCCCCATAGACTTTTAGGCCTACATTGTTTAAGAAGCTGCTGTAAAATCATGTAAAAAGTTTTTTTGACCGTCAAAACCCTCAGAATTTGGGGCATTCAGTCCATCAGCATTTACAAAGTCTGGAAGCTGCATGATTAAATCATTTTACCCCCATTTAAGTTCATGGAGGGTTAAACTAGAAGTTAGCCGGCAGTCTAACAGTCTAAAGTCCACTCAGTGGAACATAAAAAATTCACCACCAACTAGCGTTACGGGAGGTGCAATTGCAGAGGAATGCACAAGAATAAATAATCACGACGGCGAGGGTACGCATATAGAATCGACGCAATAAAAGTAGTGAAGTATAAACTGGCCTTTAGACGTGGATTTGCCCGGGGTTGCAGAAATTGACGTAAAGTTCAACATTTTTCAACCAGCAAAACATATGTGCAAATCCCGAAATCCCGAGGATTTATGAATCTACTAGACTGGACACAGCAATTTCAATGAAGCAAGGTGAACATTGTGCCCTCAAATTCCAAAATATCCTCTTTAAACCTAATGAGTTCCCAATGAGGTTTCAATATATCACAAGTGGAGGACATATCTTAGTTTTACCTGCTTTGACAAAATCAGGGAGATGTTTCTTTAAGTTATTTTGGATAAACTCAGGGGAAGATTTCATGGAGCTTTATGTACAAATGGTGCCCTGGTTGACCACTTTGCCCACACGAGTATGATCTAGCATCTCTGACAATTAGTTTTGGCAGCTCAACTTATCTGACCTTACATCATTTAGCACCTGATATGTCTTTCTATACAATATTTACATTCGTTTGAGTTGCTGTTTTAATGCACTGCTGGAAATCAAGAGAATAAAGACATCTGGGATTTCAAAACTGGGTACTGAAGGAGGTTTTAGGTGCTACGAATATCATTTAGCCTCAAAGTGAATGGGATCCTAACTATTACACCGTGTCTATATTTCAGCTGTTGATGAAATGTAAGGATAAATATATTTGCAGTCTGTTGAAAAGTTTACCTTTGCGTTGTTGCACAAATCCACTTAACACAAAACTGTGATGTTTTGTGTGCACGAGTGTGGGATGCCCCGGCATGCAAAGTGCATCAGTTTGCCTTTTGTATTAATTTGGAGAATATCTAAATGTAACAAAATCCCTTTCAAAATTCCTAGATATTTATTGTACAGCACATGGATGAAAACTATCACTGGGAAATGTTGCACACTACCTCAAACTTATGTATTAAATATGATGGCCTACCTCTAAATCTAATGTGTAACACGACTGTATAAAAATGTACTTTAATACCTGACAACTGTGTCCTTTGCACACCACAAATACTAAGAAGCTGCTTGAAGAAAAATGTATTTTTGTACAATAAAGATAAAAATGAGAATATACTGTATTCTTTGTTGTCCATTAAGTCATAAGTAAATGTCTATCCATTGTCAACCACTTATCCTGCGAACAGGGTCGCAGGGGGCTGGAGCCAATCCCAGCTGCCATCGGGCGAAAGGCGGGGTACACCCTGGACAGGTCGCCAATCCATCACAGGGCTAGATAGACAACCACTTACACTCACATTCACACCTAATGACAATTTAGCGTTACCAATTACCCTAGTCCGCATGTCTTTGGACGGTAGGAGGAAGCCGGAGCAACCGGAAAAAAAACACACACGGGGAGATCATGCAAAATCCACACAGAAAGGCCAGGGCAACCGGTGTGAACCCAAGTCCTTCTTGCTGTGAGGCGACAGTGCTAACCACTGCAACACCAGTGCACTGCCCAGCATAAGTAAATGCATTTACATAAATGTATGTCAGTGAGTAAATGTATTTGTAATTTCTGTCAACTAAAAATTGACAACAAAATCTAATCCACCTTCACCCTATTAACAGGAATTACAGTGCTCTAAAAGAAGATGAAGCCAAAATCCTCTGATAACTCTTAAAATACAGGTGCTGAAGTAAAGTAATGGTAGGCCTACATTTGAACTTTTTTACTTTTGACAGTTCCATGAAGTTAAACGCTATGCAAGCCAGTTTATACCAAAAACAAATAGCAATAAAACCAGAAATGCTCACAAGAAGTCAAAGTTATGAGACAGTAATTGATGTACTATCTACATTGTGAAAATAAAATTTAGACTTAAATTATAATTAAAGATGGACTTCGGTTACATTTATTTTGTTTATCATTTGTCTTCTGTTGGCAGAAATGGGCTTCATACATTGTCATTTTTAGGCTTGGGCAGATAGTTTTATTTTTTTCATACCTCCCTTCCTCTTATCTGCATCATGTGCATGCTAGTTGTCCGGCTGGAAACAGTATGGGGTTGTAGGGATTATAAGTGCTGTGCAATGAAAGGATAAAATGAACATCTGACATAAATCAGGAGTAACACAGGAAATCAGGTGATGACATCAGTTCATGCGGTGCCACACACCGATGCTGCATCGCCTGAATACAGCTCCTCCCGAGTTTGCTAGGAGTGTATTTTTGACCGTATTTAAAGTCATACATCGGGATTTCTAAAAACCCTAATTACTTTATTCAAATTTCTTTTCTGACAACTGAAGTGAAAATTACTTGCTTACATTGTTCTGAACAACATACTGAAATACTGACAGTATCATCATGGGGGAGAAAACTGTTCCTGTGTTTTTGGCTTTATTTGCCACAGAAATGTTGAGTGCTTCCAACATAAACATATCAAACTTCAAGATTTTATTTTCAAATGATTTGTTCGAAAGTCCGTTATAAATTCTTTACTCCTAGTGTTCGTACAATAATCTTGTAAAACATTTTAGGTTCATATAAGCGGTCAGGTTTGGCTCCTGTTAAATGTTTTCATGCATTTTATTCAGACACACGATCAGTGTTTATACTGGCTAAAACATAAATAAGAATTTAATCAAAATTTAGAATGCAGTTACAGTATGCTGTACAGTATCCCATCAACCCCCCCCCCTTTAAAAAAGGTTAAAGAACACAGTCAAAGCATTTCAATAATCTTTATTTCATAAAAAAGTCAATCGGTTTATATCAGATTAAAGAAAGTAGAAACCAATAATCAGTTAGCTGGCGAGGCATCTTATGTGTCTTCTGACGGACTGACCGGAGCGACCACAACAAGTGTCAAGAAAGAAGGCTATGTATAAGACCCAACAGGAGCCTAAACGTGAGCTGGGCAAATAAAAGTTAAAGGGGAGTGGGAAAAAAAATACATTGGCAAAGTGGCATTAATATTTTTATCTGCCTCGTAGTCGCATGGCAAAAACGTGAACTTGAATGTTATCAAATCCTTGTTCAGATTAATACAAACAGCGGCCATCGAGATCACATGGAATGTTTGGTATCCAAATTACAGAAGGCATTACAACAATAATACCCAAAAACAACGGAGGTGGATATTCATTGTGTTCCACTTTCACTATGAGCTGTGATACCGAAGCATGTCGGGCGTAAGGGCTTTTTAAAAAATAATGTTAAAGTATGGTTTTGGAGTGGTGAAAGAGTGTGTTTGGGGATAAATAAGTAACAGGAGGTAGAAGAGAAAGGGGGGGGCCCAAAAAAACCAAACACATTTTACCGCTCCTGCTGCTACTTATTTAAAAAAAATATTTTAAAAAAAGAAAAAAAAAAAAAAAAAAAAAAAAAAGAGAAAAGCTGATCTGATGGTGGACGTTTTAGTCCGTCTCCTCTTCATCAGATTCTGACTCTGCAGAGAGAAGAAACACCGTTTTACAAACTGACTTAATAAACAAAGAATCATACACTGCACAAGTATCTTATTTTAGGTTTAATATGAAGCTCTTTAATGTAAGGCTGAAACTATTTTGTCTGTGTCATCCAATGTCAGAAAACGGAGAAACTGCATGATCAGTCCAAAAACCTCCAAAGTCGCATAAGATAAAGAAAAGGAGCAAATCTTACCAACTGAGTAAGCTGAGTAAGTTTAAGCTTAAACAAAAAGGTATGTTTGCCATTTTTGCTTGCAGTGGTGAAACGTTACTAAGTACACCTACTCTAGTACTGTGCTTAAGCACAATTTTGATACTCCATTATACCCTATTCCACTACAATTAGGAAATAAATATCGTACTTTTGACTGCATTCATTTGACATATATACTTTATATAAATTAAATTGATTTTGTGAGAACTTAAGGGTAATTTTGGTATTTTTCCAATCTGGACTATACTTCATGTTGTCGGACTGTGGACAACATTGTTTTTTAAATAAGTCCAGTACTGAGACAGCATGCTGCAGTCAGCAGCACTTTCTGTGCATAAAATTGACAGAACAATAATATCAGTGGTGTTTTTTGGCTTTTTTTTATATAAATACCTTCCTCTGCGTTCTTCAGCCACTCGACAAATTTTTTCATCTGCTCAAGGAAAACGCTCTTCCCCTTGGTAATGTGGGCATCAGAGTACCACTTCAATATGGCCTCTTCGCTCAATACATCCGCTGTTACGAAAAAAATAGAAGAAAAAAAAAAAAAAAAAGGACAGTGTCAGTGCTATCAGACATGTGATTGGCAAAGGGCAAAAAAGCAGGAAAATACACTGGGAATCAGGCCGCAAAGGTCGCTGCCTGTTTGAGACCTGGTGGCCTAATTGTTAAAGAAACAGTTATTCTTCAGGAAACTGATCAAACAGGCAGACCAGTCTCTGTCTGTTGATAAACTGTAGGAAAAAGTTTGACATTTCGAATCTGGCAGCAGGCGGGCGTGAGACGAGAATCATCGCGGCAGTTACACAGAAGCCGTTGCCATGGTTACTTTGCAGAGCGCTTGCTTGCCTGTCTGTTGATGAGGAGCACAGAGCGACCCCGTAGATCCAAGCCATCTGAAACCCTGTCACAACCTTTCACAAGAAATTAATTTGTAACGTGCCAAAACCTTTAGCATCGTGTCGCAGCACATTTCAAAATAAAAGTAAGCTTCTTTATATACTTGTGCTGTCTTAAGCATTTATTTATTCAATCGTTTCTGCCACACCAATTGCATTATGATCAGCAGAAGCTCACTTATTTTGAAATGTGCTGCGACACGATGTTACTGTAATGCCTAGAAAAAAGAAAAAAAAGTGCATCGCAAAACGGTGCGAGGACAGGCTTGACTGCAGTTGCATTAGCTGATGCTTTAATTAAGTATAAATGTAGAATTGTTCGCAGTTAAAAAGTTCGCGGTTTTGCTGGTCGCAAAAAGTTTACAACGGACGACAATGTTCTTTGCATCTTAGACTGTGACACAATGGCAAGAACGTTGCTTACAGCTGTTGAAAATACCTCTCTTCCTGTCTTCCTTTAGCTTTTTGGCCAATAGCTGACTTTAACATCATAAGGTCCGGTGCCGCTGACCTGCAGCGCGGTCGCACAGTCACGTCAGGGATGGTGCGTTCAGTAGCGCAGCGTTACTTGGATCAGTAACTAATAATATCACTGGAAATAGCAATCCGTTACATTACTCTTTACTGAGAAAAGTAATATTACAGTACTGCCCAACACGTTACCACGATGCTCGAGACACCAACCTTTGTAGAGGAGCACCACGATCTTCTGAAAGGCCTTCATGAAGTGGATATTGTCGTAGCAGTACTCCTGGATCTTCAGCAGCAGGCTGAGCTCGGACAAACCCTGGGAGGTGAAGGCTTTCAGCAGAAGGCTGTATTGCTGCAGAAACAAGAGACAACATGAAGCTTTGTTGGAGAACATGGCTCGCCTTTCCGGGGCAGAGATGGAAATGCACTCTGCTAGCTAGTAGGAGCTGTAATGTATGTAGTAAAAAGCTTATTGATTTACAGCAGGATCAAGATCTTAAGAGAGCTGTTTTGTTCCATGCATTTTGTTCATGTCTCAGGCTATTTTCAAACTTCACATGATCAAAAAGTCCAAATTCCCCTTTGTGCAGCAAGACAACATCACAACCCCTCAGCACTGAACTCAGCAAGTGTAGGCCCAGAGAACCGAGCACATTACTCCTGTTCATAAATCTTTACGCTGGCTTCCAGTTACTTTTACAATTGATTGTACAATCGAAGTGCTGGTTAATAGAAATCACTCAAAAACCTTGGGCTAAAAAAAAAAAAAAACATTTGCTTGAATGAGCCCATAGATCTTTAGGAAATAGTCAGCTGACTGAACCTCGAGTCAGAACCAGAGAGGCTGAAGCTGCAATGCTACACACAGATGTAACCAACTTCCTGCTCTCAGACACGCCCCAACACTATAGCCACTTTCTGCTTTTAATAGATTGGTTTTTCTACTACATGTTTATTTCCATTGTTGCATGCAACATACAGCATCAGTGTAATTCCATTTCCGGTCTATTCCATTTTTATTTTACTTATCTTAATTCCCTTTTTTTTTAATGCTTTTCTTTGCCATTGTAAAGCATTGCCTCTTTGAAATGTGCCATATCAGTAAAGCCGCCGTACCTTTATAAACCCTGGATTTCTATTTTGCATGACAGGAAACACCAATCCATAACCGTCAAACACGCTATTTACAAAATAAACTTTACTGCACTTGTTCCCAACAGAGCATTTAACCCTCTACTGCTGAAAACACTGAACATTTGAGGCCTTAAACTCAAAAACATTTGGGAACAAGTGCCATGGTGATGGCGCAATGGATAAGACAAATGCCTTGGTGTGAGAGACCTGGGTTCAATTCCCCACTGTGACCCATCCACCATTGTTTCCCTGAGCAAGACACTTAACCCCTAGTTGCTCCAGAGGCGTGCGACCTGACATAATTAGCTACTGTAAGTCGCTTTGGATAAAAGCGTCAGCTAAAAAAAAAGAAAAAATTTAAACATTTTCAGACTTGCCAGAACTTGCAGTCACTGAGCACAAACCTCAAACCATTGCCCAATCCTTAAGAATCAAACACACAAGCAAATGTTCTCTAAGTTCATTAAGTGTGTTTAGTGCCTTACTTAACTGTGTTCAAGACATTTAAACTACTCCCAGGACCGTGTTCAAACAGCTGAACAGTGTTGCATACCTTCAAGTGTTTGATGGCTTGTTCGGTCACCAGCTCTTCCTTCTTGTTCCACTCCACGCAGCTCATCACGCTGGTCCAGATGATGCCAATCATGGCTTGCTCAGAGAGGTTCGATTTTTTCATCTCCTCTTTGGTGAAGGCGATAATCTGGACAGACAATACGTACACGTTTCTTAACAGCCACTAAACATCACATTTCACACTCTTAGGAAACACTGCATCATTTCCAAATGACGCAGGTCAGGCAGTAACAATCCAGTCTCTGCAGGTTGCAGAGTTACAGTCAGGCCTGTTCATTTGTATTCAACTTCACGACTCGTCTTTGTTTTTGCCCTGTTCAGTAATTACTGCCTTAACTGGTCGTGTCAGTCACAAATACAAATATTTGGCACCATGGCAAAGAGGGGAATTGGCAATCATAAGGGTGTAATGCTGTTCACAAAAATCTGTCCCCAGAGAAGAACAATGACATTCAGATCTTCACCTTCATCGACTGGAAGACATTTAGCTGGACAAATACAGCCCAGAGTACGCCTGTCGGTTTCAATTAAATGTTAACATTTATGTTGCTTTGTCGCCCTGCTGTAGGTATATTTGCGTGCACCGGCAGCACCTGATGTGGACAAAATGTTATTTAAACTAGGAAGTGAATACAGACTGGAATTTTTACATTTATAATCATATTGTCTGCAGCAGTGCAGTTGTAGCCTCACTTAATGATCCTAGAGAACAGGAAGTGGTAAACTTTGACCCCTTCAGCAGCCTCACCTCCTTCTGAGGGTCACCGCGGAACATCTGCTCCTGGAGCTCCTTCTGCAGCTCCTTGCGAGCGCCAATGGATTGCTGGTTGCGGGCGAAGTCAGACAGCTCCTTCAACCCGGCGTCAGTAAAGTACTTTGAAAAATGCTCGCAGCTCCGTTTGTTGGCAGGAAAGAGTTCCTGCGGGGCAGAGATATTTAGAGTAAACTTGTATACAAAAAGCAGACGCAACACCTGCAAACATCTGTAAGGAACTGTGACAAGTAAAAAGCTAAACCCAAAACCCAGATTTTTTTCCCAGCAATCTCAGTTTATATCTCAGCCATTTACCATCAGCCTGTTGTCCATTCCAACTTTGCGGAGACTGACAGCAACTGAGTTGATGTCCTTCTCATTGATCCATGACTTGAACAGCTTGACAGCGAAGGCTGCAGATACTCCTGAAAACAAACCACAACACAAAGTGGTCTTCTGTTGTGCTGTCACTGAATACAAAGTTTAACATGTCTTGGAACAAAACTCAAATTTGTGTCCTTATAAACCCAAATTTGACATTTCAGGAGGACCTAAAGAGGAAGCTCACTCATTTCCAATCTTTTCTAAGAGTTTCTCCTCACCTTCTTTGACGAGGTTCTCGTTGAAGAGGCTGTTCAGGATGGAGGCTGATATGTGACCGTTGGCCAGCAGGATGCCGGTCAGCATGGCCAGTTTGTTGCGCTCAGATTCAGTGAATCCCTTTAGAAATAGCAGCAACTACAGAGGACAGAAAACCAAATACAGGTTTGTTGATCATACAATTTACACAGCTTCTTTTATGAGCAATTGATTTGATTGCAATCCATTCAAGCCGTTTACAGCCCTGCAGGTGTGGCTTTAGCTCTAAATCTATTGTCGTGCAACTGGCACACACTTTATAACAGTGTTATTGGTCTCACATTACTAGAAGACTTAAACTGCTCATAATAACTAAACAGTATGACAGCTGTTTGTTAAATATCAGTTTTCCAACCAATTCTAAAACAATTCAGCAGTAAATTGAACACACACACACACACACTAATGTGCAAAAATATGAATAGATTAATCATTTAAGGACAACATTTTAATAATGTTATAGAAGCTGGAATCACTGAATTCACCCTCTCATTCCTAATTTTTACAATAGTGAACTGATTTTAAATAAGCCATTTAAATATTAACTTGTTTCTACATTATCTGGCATTTTACAGTGAAAAAATTGTAGCAGTTCAATCAATACTCAATTTTTATTATTCACAGACCCTTTTTCCTGCCAACCTGTGGAGTCAGATACATTTACAGATTTGAAACTATAAAATGAACAGTATTTAACACCTGCTAAATTATTGTAAAACTCCAGCTGAAGCACAAACTAAACTACCTGCACACCCTCCACCTCAGAGACAAGTCTAATCAACATAATTTAAAAATAATGCACCAACATTCAATTTAAGTTCTGATCTTCAAACTCACCTTCTTGATCTCCTCTTCGAAACCTTTCTCCAGGTACTTGTAACGCCTGATAAGCTTGTTAAAAACCTGTTGTGGAGGTAAAGACAGACATGTTAACTCAGTGCTTAAACACATTGATGAAATTAAATGTTTATCCCCTATGAGTTGAAAGAGGAATTAAAGAAAAGGTACAAACTGTAGCTGTGCATGCTTTCTACCTGAGCATATGCTTGCATTGTCTCCAGGTCTTCTTGTGCCGTGAAGAGGCAGAACTCTGTGCGGGTCATGTCATCAGATAGAGTCCCACCTGGGGCTGCAAGAGAAAATAAAACCACCATACAAATCAAAAAAGGGGCTGCCGGCTTTTTGTACAGAAGGGCACAAAATGCAGTTCCTCGAATGGCCACTTGAGGGTGGCTACAAGAGCTGATTGGTTAGAGAGAATATTCACTGCATCATCATTGCGTGCGCCAGACAGAGGCCAGCAACATAAAGTTTTATATTTGACAGTTTTCGTATGGAATTTCATCACTAAATCCAGTTCTGAGAAGTTTTGAGGTGAGAAATCAGCTGTGTAGATTTCGAATATTGACAGTTTTACGAGAAGTGATGGCGGAACAAAAATGTGCTTGAAAATTTTTAGAGTTGAGGAGCTCCACAAGTGGCTGCGGGGGAAGCCTGTGCCAACCCGCGGGAGGAGCGTGAGGCCGGCCAGCCGTTCGCTCACAGAGCCCTCTGCTCCTGCCGTCACACAGACCGCTGCAGCAACAACGGCAGAGGAAAACACAGCTGGAAGGTTTTCATACCGCTTATCTGTCTTTATATTCTCAGGAATGTTGAAACGTTTTTACTTAAAAAAGAGAAAGCTGTGGGATCGCTGGGCCTGGAAATTCACAGTCAACCTGCAAGTAGGCTTTATTGGTTGTGAATTATATTTAAAATAAAAACAGCAACCTAACTTCACAGACTGTTCAAGTGCGGAGTTGTTGTAAACGTTGGCTAACACAGCTAAAGTTATAACTATAATGCTAATGTTACACCTGATGTGAAAGCTACTGAGCAAACATTTAAATTATTTGGCCAATTTTTTATGTAAAATTGAGTTGAAATATGGTGATTTTTGTAGTGGTTTATGGTAAGATGTGGAACAATGATGTGTGGTTGTGGACTTATGAGTAACTTATACCATCTGCTAGGTTACGGTCGCAGTCTGAAGCGGCTTTGATTTGGATCACACTACCTTGTTTCGTACGAACCGCCCTTCTCTGCTTCCGATTGGCTAGTAGTCCTTACCTAGGAACTGTGCATGTGCAACTCCCAACAAAGATTTTGTACAAGTAAGATGCATCTCTCTGTAGCTCAAGAGTGGAGCGTACAACACAGGGTGAAAAGAAGAGCTGCAGCAATGTGCAGTATGAGAAAAATATGGTGTATTTTGAAAATTAAGCCTCTGTTCTGGTACAACCCCTAATTAAGATTTTGAACCTGAAAATGAGCATAATACCACCACTTTAAAGATTTACAGTGAAAAACATGTACATAATGGGATGAATAATGTTTCCCAACACAACTTACCCAGCATCCCGCCGGCCACCAGGATGTCAAAGAGTGTCTCTGCATACCGGCGGTAGTCAAGCTTGGCACCAGAGGCATCAAGGAATTTCGCAACCGCTTCCAAATCAGTGCCAGTTTGATTCAAGCCTTGTACGATACTTTCTTGAAAGTGAGTAGGGTCAAATCTCTCCTTTTCATCTGTAGGAAAAGGACACACGATGGAGTCCAAAAAAGCCTGGGTACATTGATTTGAACAAAGGCACGCAAAGCAGAACACATATGGAGCAGCAACGACAAACACAAACCTCTTTTCCTCGTTTTGAAACGCTGGCCTGTTAGCGTTGGCTTTTGCTGCTTTTGATTATTCATAAAAGACACCCTGAAACAGATAAACACAGACTGGTAATGTTTACTCACGTTGACACAGAATGAACAGAACAACATTCCCTTTAATTATGATTTGTATTGCCAGCGTTTGGGTGTGACTTGGACGAGCTATACTTTTTTTTTTTATTATTATTACTTGGAGTCAATGAGTTCACCATTGTAAATTATTCTTACAAAACTCAAGTTTGACCATAAAGTTTAAAGCCTGTAGCTCATTTTTGTCAAGATAGAGATGGCCACAGACCAAAATATACCATGAGAATCCCAAACCAACAATAAATTGATCCTCCTAGCTAGTGTCATCTGTAGAGCTTCACTAGTTTCCAAAAATTATTACAAAACACACCATAGAGCCATACTGTTGCACTGGGTGACATTTCCCCTCACGAACATGAACCCGACAGCTGCCGTTTATTTTGACTGAAACTCACATTGACCCCGTTTACACCTGGCATCACCATGCATCCTGCGTGATCCAATCTCAAGTGGACAGCTCTAAGTAAAGGTGTGAATGCATGGAGATCGGGTCGCTCAGACCACATTGTGGCCAGGATTGCTTATGACAACATGAAGTCAGCAGTGTACACAAATGTGTCCTACTCAGTTGACATCCTCTGTGTAAGTACGCACTGGTTTGCGCACGAATGACTATGTCAAAGTGCGAAACAACAACAAGCACCCACAACCACAGGGAAAATACAGTCTGGTGGATGAGTAGTACACACAAAACCCGCTGTCTCATGCAGTTTCCTGATGGACACAGCTTTACTTGTTGCTGAAGTAATTGCCAATTGTAGGTGCCGTTAGCTGATTAACTCAGTTTGCCTTGCAGCTAGTGCTTTTGAGCTTTGGACCGTTCAAAGGACATTTTTCCTGCATCCCCAGAAAGTAGTTTAGCGAGCGCCAAAGGAAAATCACCTGCGCCAAAATGATCAGAATTGAAAAAGAAAAAAGCATTTCAAATCCTTTCCGAATGTTTAATACCAACCAACAGTTGAGCAACCAGAAGATAAATTTCAAGATGTCTTTGACTTTCAGCAGTCTGATCCACAGCCGCTGTATTTTACACATGCAGCTGGCGCTGGATTTATAAACCAGGTATTGCGCTGGTTTGACTGCGCATGAATGCTCTGCTACGAAGCAAGCGCTTATGAGAGGTATGACTTACCCTGTGATTTTTCACAATATAAAAGCCATTTGTGTTCGTGCTACATTTTACTCTTTGGCGTACCAGCAGTTCACAAGCTGCCTGTCCTCTTTTCTGACCTATCCATAATCAGGTTATCTAGGCGCACACCTGTTCACGTTCTTGCCTGCCTGCTAATCTTTCAGTGGAGACAGGAGGGAGAAGCGCGACCAATCACAGCCTGGATGAGGCGGGACAAAAGGTCGACAAGCTACAGAAAACTTTAGAAATGTTGAATTCGTTCTGTATGCGCAGATTTTATTTTTTTTTCAAGTTAGTACTTTGCATAGACAAATGAGACTGACCAAAATGTAGAGCATTCTTCTTGTACAATAATTTAATGACTGAAAAAACCCCACAAAAATTAAACTGCCATTTTGTCCAACTGGAATGAACATACTAATGGCAAGCTATATAGTAACCTATACTATGATTTATGAACACACATCAGCCCTAAACAACCACACACACACTGTGTGTGGTTGTTTAGGGCTGATATATACATACACACACACACACACACACCACTTTATTCAATGTTTTAATATTTATACACTAATTTATACTCATTACTCAATGTTGTGGATACATTGTTTATCAAATTGTCAGAAATGAGAAAATGCACCATAAATAGTCACTCCAGCTGCATGTAGAGATGCTCTTTAATGCACAGTGTAAACAGGGCCTTACACCATGCCCTGCTAAATGCTCACAAGGTCAGTAGATGTTTATTACTACGCAGTTGTAAATGCAGCCATGCCCAGTAGTTCAAAATGACTGAGCCTTTGAAAATTACTACAGTTTTGTGAGTACATTTAAAGATTTGCATCTTCAGCAGAAACCAAGGGGCTGTAATATAGGGCACAATTCATACGGGACTGTCGCCATTGCCTACGTACATATTTTTTCAGAAATCAGGTCCCACGGTGGCCCCTCATGGGATGTGATGTTAATGAGATAAATGCAGAATAAGTGCAGCCTCACCCTTAAAACATAACATATCCGTTTGTTTTTCCCAATACGGATACTTTATGTCATTTAACTTAGTGAACTTTCAACTAACCTCTTCTAAAGGACTAAATTTAGATACAACAAAACAACGTAAATAGTTAATATAATTGAAATTGAAGTTACAACCGGAGTTTGCCGATACAATAAAAGGTATTTAAAAATCCGATCGTGTCACCAGTGCGAAATTACAGGGACGAGATACCCATATAACAGCAGAGGAAGACAAAAAAGACAAAAGACAGTAACGTTACGATGTTGTAAGGTTCACGGAGCTGGTGGGTATTCGGTGTTGCATTAATCAGGAATATTTTAGACCTTAATCACAAGTTAATTTTCGGTGAACGTTTGAGGGATAAAGATTGAGTCGGCTCGTGTATAACGAGAAATTTTCCAAAGCTACAGCTACCTAATTGTAGGTTAGGAATGGCTACCTCTGGGCCTCACCATGCGCCGAGCCAGTACTGGTTAGCCGGGCCCGCTAGCTGGCTAACCGTGTGTGATTAATTAATAAACCACTACTAAGACACTTTAAACCGACATGATACGCTGATCTGCACTTGAACGAAACTCCCTGTAGAAATGCCATTATAAACTTTGAATTCATCTCAAGACAGTCTACAAGTATTTTAGCTGTAAACAGGCTAAAGCTACACTTGCTAGCCGAACTGTAGAAAACCAAAATTCGCCCTACAGCGGCCTGTGATGGCGACGTTCCCGGGTGAAAAACGTTATTTTACACACTTTAACCAGAGATGTTTCAGCTCTTTACGACAGGGTTAAGCTGTGACAAAACGTCGACAATGTAGAAGTAAAGATACTCACCGAAATTAATGCAGATAAAAAACGGTTGTTAACCAGGGGAATTAAAGCAGGCAAGTGACGAGTCTCTCAGTGGCCCAAACAAAAAGACTTCACCGTCAGAACTTCCGCAGGCTCCGCCCGCTGCGCATGCGTGATTTAAAGGGGATTTCCGCTCCTCAAAAAAAAAGAACACAGAATTTTATTTTTTTTTTAGGGGGAGCTAACAACAACAACATTTACAGTATAAATATAAATCAGTTTTTGCTCTGTATTTTACAACGATATACTCTTATTCAGTTCAGTTGATACACCTCGATGTATTAAATGCAGTATGAGTTAATCAAATTTAAATAATGGGTCACAATCTGGTCACAATAGGTGATTTGTTTACCTTTTATGCTTTAGTATGGCCTCATAACTTTGTGTATCCCTATTGATTGTGTATCTTTTAGACTGTTATTTAGATATTGGTATTTATTTATTATTTTATTTATTACCAATACTTTAGTTTTGTGTGTGTATCTGTACAGTTGCTCTAACAGGAATAAAGAAAGTTGAAGCAAATTAAACTGAATTAAATCCCTGAAACTGCCTGCCTTTAAACCACAGATTGGCCTCTGTCAAAGTCACATTTATATAAAGAATCTTATATGGAACACAATTTTTTTTGAGCTGAAACAGTCTTCTATTGAATAGCTGAAAAGTACAGCATAAAAAGGGTTTAGAGAAAATAAATCACCAACAATATAGACAAATGTCATGAGAAATAAATAATACCGTGTGTACCTTCAGTTGTGCTGTTAGGCTGTGATAATTGATTTGTCAGCTAAAGGAAAACTGGTGACATGAAGGGATGTGGAAAAGTACTTAAAGAACTGCCAGTTCAAAGCTAAAGTTTCATACAGACTTGATTTTCAGCTTGTTACGGTTTACTCTCCAAAAAGGTGAGAGCATTCATTAACCTATTTATTACCATTATTTAGCAGTTAGGCCTACTGTAGGTAAATTCATTTACTTTTTAATTCAAGGTTCAAAAATAAGGTAAAACAAGCTGCATCAGCTGTAAAAAGGTTAATAAAGAGCAGTCCAGTAAGAAACATAGTAATCCTACAATGGGCCTGCATTTTGGAGAGATACTGTGCAAATAAAGTATCATCGCAACTTCTTAAATACCATGTAGTTACTAGAGCCCTAACAAAAACATCTGTTGGAAAACTGTTAAAATTGTTGAATGACTTCAGAGCCACCGTGCTATAAGTTTGTGTAAAGATATTTTGTTATGGTAATATTACAGCATACAAACAAGATGAAATAACACGTGGACACATCAAGATTAAATAACTTCAAGAATACCAAGTAAAATATTAGGGGCAGTTTTGAAAAAAAGTATATAGTGTAAAATAAGACATCTGAATACCAAAATAGCACATGCATGGTAAATGTGTGTATTTGCCATTCATGACAATGAAATCTCCCTCATTATCATGAAAGAAATTGCATTTAAGGGTACTGCTACACTGACAATAAGAGTAATCCTCTACTGTCTTTCCTTTGGTTTTGTATCAACCTGTGTCATCTACTTTTATTGCAATAAGCAGTTTTTCTACATTTCTCAGTGCTAAAAAATATTCTTTCTAATTCCACTGTGTTTCTGCTTTTATTTCCTGTTATTAAATGGTTTCTGTGGCGCTTTCCCTCTAAAGGAAAAAAAATCATTATTATCCCTCCTTTATCTCATTAAATATTATTGATCTGAGGCCATTTGATTTGATGTCCTCCATAACTTGTGGTCGCATTAAAGGCTAAGAAGACACCAGTAAGGGGTTCAGAGGCTCATAAGAGTCAGTCCAATTATCATGTTAAAGAGGCATTTTGACCACGTCCAATTTAAATGTTCCTCTGGTAACATGTAGACATGAAGTCATCTGAAAGAGGAGGAGGGTGTCAGTACGGTGATGTTTTTCTCCCTTTGTTTATTTCTGTCTTCACTTTAAATTTGTCCTCTTCTGGTTATTTTGTCTTACTTTCCTCTTAACTTTGGCATTGTTGTTAACTTTTGTTTTCATCCTCTTTTCTTTCCTGTTTTTAGTTTTGTCTTTAATTCTTTGTTCCCATTATCATGTCTTCTTTCCTTCTCTTCTTTTCTTTACTGCTTTTGCACCTTTCATTTTCCTTCCTCTATTGCTTTTGTCCCTTTCCTTCTTTTTTTACTTTATTATTTTTGTTCATCTCCTTTCCCTTCCTTCTTTCTTTCCCTTTTTGCTTTTGTCTGTTTTTTCCCCCTCTCTCCCTCCCTCCTTCCTTCCAGGTTGATGAGAATAATGTAGATCCAGAATAAGTGGTGCACAGTTTTCTGAGGAGAAGAGGTTGGTTTTATTCTATTCTTCAGTCATTTCCAAATAAGATGTTAATAAAACTGTTATCTCATAAGTTGTTGTCTATGAAGATTCTCAGTCATCCAGGTCATAGTTATCCAACGAAGGTTAAAGTCTGCCCTTGACTTTAACCTTCAAGTGAGTCATAACTGGACTTGGTTAAAACACCACCTACTTCCAGTACAACGGAGGATTCTACAGACAGAAGCATGGCTGTGCCATGGGCTCACCGGTATCCCCGATTGTGGCAAACATCTACATGGAAGAAGTGGAGAACAAAGCCCTCAACTCCTTCAGAGGAACAGCACCGAGCCACTGGTACAGATATGTGGACGACACCTGGGTCAAAATTAAAAGCCAGGAAGTGCAAGCCTTCACAGAACACATCAACTCTGTGGGACAGTAACATCAAGTTCACACGAGAAGATGTTCACAACAACAGTTTGGCCTTCCTGGACTGCGCTGTACACATTGAAGAGGACAAGAGCCTGCAGATTGGTGTTTACAGAAAACCCACACACACAGAGCAATACCTACTCTTCGATTCACACCACCCACTGGAGCACAAGCTAGGGGTCATGAGAACACTACATCACAGAGCGGAAAACATACCAACAAGCGCCCAAGCCAGAGAGAAGGAACAGAAACACCTGAAGGGGGCACTTACAGCCTGCGGATACCCTAAATGGACCTTTGTGAAAACAGCCACAAGATCCAAGAAGAACAAAACTACAGGGGATGAGGAAAAGAAGGTCAAACACAACAACATTGTGATTCCATACGTGTCTGGAGTATCAGAGAAACTCAGGAGGATTTTCAACAAACACAACATCCCTGTGTTTTTTAAACCCAAGAACACACTAAGACCGCACACCCAAACACAAGAAAAGCAATCTAGTGTATGCGGTCCAATGCAGTGAGGAATGCACAGACCTGTATATTGGGGAGACTAAATAACCACTACACAAACGCATGGCTCAACACAGAAGGGCCAACTCTTCAGGTCAAGACTCTGCAGTCTACTTACATCTGAAGGACAGAGGACACTCGTTTGAGGACCACCAGGTGCACATTTTAGACAGAGAAGATGGATGGTTTGAAAGAGGTGTCAAGGAAGCCATCTACACCCGGGTCGAGAAGCCATCATTAAACAGAAGAGGGGGTCTACGCCACCACTTATCCCCCACTTACAATGCTGTCCTTTCATCTCTTCCCAGGAAACTCAACAAACGTAACCTATTGGCCTCAGGTGAAGATACCAACGATGGTCGTTCAGTCTTGGCCACCGGTAGTCCTAACGACTGTAACGACTGTCGTCACAGCAACCAGGAACACTAACGGCCAGCAGTATCGATGACCCTGGTAAACGACCCCACTGAGGTTAAATAGCTGAGTTTCCCTGCCAGTCAGTCAGAACTGAAGAAGTCCTTTGGATGAGGGACGAAACGTCGTCCAGTATCTTCAACCAAGTCCACTTGCCCTTGACTTTAACCTTTGTTGGACTCATAAGTTGTTGTAAACTTGTTGAAAGTTATGAATACATTTAGTAGCAATCATCATCAAAAGGTGGAATATTATATTTATTCATTTTAATTTATATAAATGATACAACTACCACTGCGCTGATAACCCAACAAAACTTTAGATTGAAGCCAGAGCACCCGGAGAGGTTTGGTTAAATCTGCGTGTTGACAGTTCTGGCCGCCCTGTCGTCCATTAATTCCTGATAATGGACACCTCGTTGGACATTGTCCCTTAATGACCAGTCCATACCTCTCCTGTCCACCAGTTGGTCTGACGGGTACTAAGTACAGCTGTGGAGGTGGAGGATGTGGAGCCTGCACTGTCATGGTGTCCAGATACGAATGCAAACAGGAGCAAGTAATGTATCCTTCTGTACCTTCGCAACGACTTAACTTTGCACGTTTTCCGCTTTTTATTTGTTTTCCAGCAGTTAAAAGTGATTTCTTCCTCTTTAGTTTTCCGTTTAAACTTTGAGGCTGCAAAAAGCCATGAGTGTTCTATCCCTGACCTTTTAACCCAGACACGATACTGTCAACACCTGCCCGCAGCCTATCGTCACCCTTCATGGGAGCGTCTGTGGTGTTGGTCGAAGGCATCGGTAGCACCAAGACCAAACTCCATCCTGTTCAGGTGACAAGTCTCTCTAACATTTCAACACTTTTCTAACGGTCACCAGAACGGGTGTTATCCTTCAGCAGCAGGAAGATGTAACATCTGGCCATTTGTTCTGCTCTGTCTCTCAGGAGCGAATTCCAAATGCTCATGGCTCCCAGTGTGGCTTCTGTACTCCAGGGATGGTGATGTCCATGTACAGTCTGCTGAGGAACAAACCTCAGCCCACCATGGAGGACATCAATGAAGCTCTGGGAGGTAAAAACAAGCCAAGATTGACCCTGTTGATGTTGATTCAATGATTAACGGCATACTGTGTTGAAAAACATGATATCCATGGTTGCGAATACTGTACAGAGACATACGTTTTAGAAGAAAGAAGCAAACACTGCTGCAATTTAAACAAATATTGAGGGATTTTTGGCAAAGATTTGGCTACAGAAATGCTATTTATGCACGAGAACATCAAAACATAACAAAATATCTGTACACCGTTCTCCTTTTCACCACATTATCTAAGCTTTCAGTCACGGAGGCCGTTGTCATCAGACATTTCTTGCTGTTTCTTGCACCATGCATTCCTTTGTGATCGGTAATTTTGAAATAGTTTAGCCTCAAAATGACAATTCTGATGACAAAA